TCACTGTCGTCATCATCATGATGATAATCAGCATCATCATCAGAATCAGCATCAGCATCAGCATCAGCATCAACATCATCATCATCATCATCATCATCATCATCATCATCATCATCATAACCATCATCACCATGATCCGTCTCATCATCATCATCATCATCATCATCATCATCATCATCAACAACAACGTCGTCGTCGTCGTCGCCGTCAACACCATCACCATCATGTGTTTCCCACCCTCCGTGTCCTCCTCCACCTCCTCCCCCCCTTCCCCTCCTGCTTCTGCGCCTCCCTCGCGTGGCCCAACTCATCCTCAACATCAACACCCCTTTCACCCCCGTCCTGATGCCTACTCCGTCCCCCTCAGCCTCCTCCTCCGCCTCCTCCTTCTCACCATCACTCATTCTCCTCATCCGTCCTCGTCCTCCTCGTCCTCCTCATCCGTCCTAGTCCTCCTCGTCCGTCCTCGTCCTCCTCCTCGTCCTCCTCATTACCATCCTGCTCATGTTACACTCCTCTACGTATCCGTCCCTCGTCCCTCTCCGTCACGTCCTCATCCGCATCTCCCTTCTGAAAGGCTCGCTTTCTCCCTATCTCTCTATTTCTTTCGTTCGAAAGCATTTTCTTATTTGGCGTTTCGACATTGGGCGGAGGGGGGGTGGGGGGGGTCTGGCTCCGGACCTCTGCTTAATGCGACTGTTTGCAACAGTGCGTCCTATGGGGGAGACTCCGCCTGCTCGAAGCAGGCGCCAGAAACAGCCAAGATCTACTCCACGGGGCGGGGGGGAGGGGGGGTGCGAGCGAGGGCTTTCGCCGATCGGCAAAACAATGAATAAGAAAACGAACACTTCGTTCTCTCTCTCTCTCTCTCTCTCTCCCTCCCTCTCATCCTCGTCCTCGTTTCTCATCCTCCGCGTCCTCGCCCGCATCCCCCCTGTTTGCGGCAAGGGCTCGTGGACGACCCCCCCCCCGGGTCCCATGGTCCCCCCCCTGTCCCCTGGTATTCTAAAGATTGACGAAGGAAGCGGGCTTGATGATCGGTCTGCTGAAGAAGGGGTGATGTGATTAACCAAAAAACCCTAACCATTTGGGAGGAGACCGAAATTAAGAGGGCCTGGGACATTAGGGATACGGGGTCTTTTCTGTAGAGGTATCGAACGAAACTGCCCAGATGTATTATCCCTAACGCGAAGACGGGGACCTCAGTGAGGCCACGTCAACCTCACTGATGGTGCACTCAAGGTTGACGAAGGAAACGGGCTTCCTGGTAGGCGTTCCGAAGAAGGGAGTGGCAAAGGAACGCCCAAGGCTGATGGAAGAGTTCCACTGCACGCTCGATTACCACTGCATACAGTGCAGTAGGGGAACAAAAAGTGGCATAAGCATAAAAAACTCGGAGGTCCGCGCGGATTTCTCGGATCGGCGCTGAACCCCCCTCCTTGGCGCGCGGAGCGCGCCAGGGGCGGCGCCGGAGGCGCCGCCGGAGGGCCCCAGCGCCGATCCGAAAAATCCGCGCGGACCTCCGAGTTTTCATGTTTATGCCATTTTTTGTTTCCCTATACGTCAACGGAGGAACAACCACCCGGACCCGACAGTTGGCGTTGGCTTGTGGCAGTCGATCAATGGAGAGGAAGCATTGTGCCAGATAAATTCCTGATGTCTAAAACAGAATAAGATGTCAAATATGTTTTAAACATGTTTTTCCTGTTCTTGCTTGAAACACAGTTGCAAAACATTCGTCCGACATTTTCCGACATTCTAAACACATGTTTGATTCAATGACCGGACTGCTCGGATGTCCATTGCCGTGGCATCCACAAGCGTTGCCTAAACGGCCCTGGGCGTTTGCGAAGCAGCCTTGCCCCTGTCATCGCTTGGACGTGTGTTTTTTTTCTCGGCGAGGGCCATCGAGGAGCATCCTTGACCATTTGGCGAACAAAAACACGCACGAAACCGAAAAAAACACAGGGAATGGACGTCCGAGCTATGGCCAGGCCCTGTTCGACTCCCTCTGTGGGTGCGTCTGCCGCACGGCCTCGCGCGTCGGGGTGCTCACTCTTCGGGGGTGCACTTCCTGCCCTCTGTGGTCGTCCGGCACGGCACGGCACGCGGCCCCGGCGCGGCACGGCACGGGGGACATTTGTCAGGAGGGAGAGAAACACACAGGCACAATTTATCGTCGATTTCCCCGAAAGTAGTGGAGAATATGGGAAGTGGGGGGGGAAGACAACATCCCCCAAAAATATGGGACAATCTGGGGAGTATTCTTGTTTGTGTGTATCTATTCGTGTGTCCTGGGGCCCCTGCAATTTGTCGCTTCCACCGGCGCCAAGCACGGCACGGCACGGCACGCGGGCGACCCGCCGGTTTCGCAACCGGGCGCCAGGCATCGTTTCGTCGAAGCATTCATTCAGTGCGTCCCCCAGATTGCATAAGGAAAAACAAGTGGCATAAGCATGAAAACTCGGAGGTCCGCGCGGATTTCTCGGATCGGCGCTGGGGCCCCCCAGCGGCGCCTCCGGCGCCGCACCTGGCGCGCTCCGCACGCCAGGGAGGGGGGTCCAGCGCCGATCCGAGAAATCCGCGCGGACCTCCGAGTTTTCATGTTTATGCCACTTTTTGTTCCCCCAGTGACGTGCCGTGCCTCGTCCAATGCCGTGCCGTGCCTGGCGTGGCGGCGCGACAGCGAGAAGCGTGCCGCGCCGTGCCGTGCCCGCGTGTCGTGGCGCGTCGCGGCATGCCCGGCGCCCCACGGTGCGACGCGCGTGCCGTGGCGGGCCGTGCCGGGCTCGGTGTCTAGAATACGAAAACGTGGGCTGTGCCATGGCCGCGTGCCGTGCAGCGCTCGGTTTAGGCCGGGCATGTCCCCCTACAGGCGGAGATCTTGGACGATTTGTTTAAAAGCACCCAAACGACCCAAACATGCGCAGAAAGACACAATATATCGTCCCCGGACTATTGTTGGGCTATGTTTGGATACTATATTCGTCCTGTCGAGGGACAGGCCCGACTCAACGCTCGGTCTCGGCGACGCGACACACACGCGCCGCGCGGAGCAGCGCCAAGCTCGGGGCCCGCGTGCCGTGGCGCACGCGTGCAATGCCCGCGTGGCTTGCCGTGCGCGCGCCGTGCCCGCACTCTGGGGCGCGCGGGTGCCATTCCATGCCGTGCCGTGCCGTGCCGTGCCGTGCGCGTGCTCGCGTGCCGTGCCGTGCCATGACGTGCCGTGCCGTGCCGTGCCCGCGGCTCGCAGATGCCCCGCGCCGGGGAGTTCCGAACCGTGTTGTGCGCACGCGTGCCGTGCGGGTGCCGCGACGGAATCCCAGAGTGCGAAAAAGGTCCCTGTCAAAAACCGTTCCCGCGTGCCGCGCGTGCCTTATCAAAATTCTAGACAACGCCAATCGTGTATCATGCCGTGCCGCGTCCACATGCCGCGCAGTGCGCGTGCTGTGCCTGACTTCTGGGATGCGAGCATTGCGCCGTGCCGTGCCGCATCGTGCGCCCGTGCCGTGCTGGGCGCATGCCGTGCCTGAGTTCCTCAATGGGAGAATGTGCCCGGCCGTGCCGTGCCGTACTGCGCGCGCGAACCACCCGCGAGACGGGCCCATGGTGTGCCTAGCTTTCAGACACAATGTGTCTTCGCGTGCGGCGTTGCTGCTCAGGCGGTCCACACAGGCGTGATGCAGGCCACGTGGCGCATCTAGCAGCAGCGCAGCGCCCTGGTGTGAAAACTGTGAAGTACGACCTGTGTCGTGCCATGTATTTAAGTGTGTCGGCCAGCCAACCAACCAGCCAATGGTGTTTATCAGAAACCTTTCGGGAAACACCAGGGTATCGGTACCGCTTCCCCCAGACCTCTCCAGGGGTGCGTTCTGGCCAGGATTTCGAGGCGAATCCAGCGGTGGCCACGAAAGCCGCCCAGGAGGCCCTAAAAGAGGAAAACGGGCGAGGGGGTAGAGGTATGGGCACCCATTCCTCCTCTGGAATGTCAGCCAAAACACGAGTCGCCAACGAAGCGGTCACCGACGGGCGGTCACCCGCAAAAGCCCGGAACCGCCAGCCAATGTACAAGGCGGCCACGAGGCGGTCAGGGGCGCCCGCCGGGCGAACACCAGGAAACCACCCAGACAGTAACCGAAGTAAGAACCCCCAGTGCAAGCAGCGTTTTGGAAAGTGATCGCCCCTCTCAGAGCGGACACCCTTAAAGATGGAATTCTCCAAAGCCTTCACACGAGTAGCGTTCGGTCGGCATCGAGGGGTGAGAAGGGCGGA